TAAATGGACTGGAAATCATATATCTGTAAAGCAGAAATTAGTTTCTTCGGTTATTTTTTTTTATGGGATAAGCCGGTAAACAAGCTGTCGGATCACCTGGTGGTAAGCCATCGTCATCGCTCGTCGACATGGCAACACCAGAGGCGTTAGAAGTACGTTACCGGTCTTTTGGGGATTAGGATTTGAGGATTGTTGGGGATTCAGGAATTGGGGAGATTGGGCAGATTAGGGAGAGGGAGGGGGAGTAATAAGTCTCCGGTAACCCCACTCATAGGACGAAACACAACGCAAGCGTTGTTTCACGTCGGTTTTCTGTGAGCCTGTGGTATCACTCCGACCCATTCGCGCCGAAGCATGCTTCTCCCACATTTAAAATACTTACTACAGAAGTAAGAGGGTAATACTTATTATTTACACGTTTTAAACTTATTTTGAAATATTTTATGGATAGGTATTATGATAAGAAATCTACTTCTAAGGAAATAATGGGTCAGTCTAGGTAATGTTCCACAATAACATTTATATTTTTTCCTCTTTATGTCAGGATTAAAAGATTTTTGTTATTTTATGGGTCTATTGATTCCATTACATCCTGTATAGTAAACGATCTCTTTTCAGAAGGCGTGTCGAATCACCGAAAATCGTGATTGCAATAATTTATTACTTTTTAAACGCATCATTAAGTAAATTTCTTACGTAACTGTGGCTTTAAGGACATAATCGATAAGATTCGATACTTTCATCGATACATTTAAATCGAGATTCATTCAAAATTTGATATTAACCTTAATGAGCCTTGATGACCGTCCTACGCGGCGATCAATTTGGTTTATTCCAGTTTGCACTTCTATTTTGTATCTGTATTCATTAAATTAGGTTATCGATGATAAATATGTCTTCTGTCTATCACTATTCTGTAAGTTTTAAAGTATATTAAAAAAAAGTTAGGTACTTTCTAGCTAGCTAGCTCTTAAGCTGCGAATAAATGGATGTAATTTTTTACTGTAAGGAATAATTCTTATTTAATATTTTTTACTAGTTTTAATTTAATCATTTCAAAAACTACTCACAAAAAACTGAGTTAGTAATATTTTATGAAGAACAAAAAACATTAATCATTACGCCTTAGTTTAATGACTATAATGTTATAATATTTTAATTTTAATAAATAAGTTATATAGGTAGTTAATAAAGCGACAATGCTATCAGTGACAATAAGAACAAACCAAGCCGCTCCTGTTTCCTGACGTCTGCGAATCTGTATCGTTATGCATTTACGCAAGTATGACGTGTTATTTCACTTGCACCGTTACATATAGGATTCATTTTACTGATGGGTATGAACAACCCTTTAGTTTCAATTAGACATCTGTAGATGTAAAGTGTAAGTTGTACAATTCAAAACAAAGATACAGGTTGAAGTCCTAACGGTGACGTCGTGGTGGATCGGAGTTTTAAGACGCCCGTTTCTCATGCATGAGTTCGAAACCAACCAATGGCAAGTACCAATGTGACGTTTTCCGAGTTACTTATATGTACTTTCTAAGATTATCTAGACACCACTAAGAAACGGTGCAGGAAAACATCGTGAGGAAACCTGGGCTTATAATTTCTAATTAAAAGTTTGTAATCGCCAACCCGCATTGAGCAAGCGTGTTTAATGCTCAAACCTTCTCCGTGTGAGGAGAGGCTTTGCTCGGCAGTAGGCATTTATAGGCTGTTGATGATGATGATGATGATGAGGTTGAAAAGAATTGCGATACCGATTTGATGGGCATTAAATGAAATCAAGTAAGACCTCTATATTTTGTACGCATTACATGTACTACGATACAATACTGTATTTTATCCTCGTAGCAAATACAAAGGTTTTACCTAGGAATCGGTAACAAATAAAATGCTGAAGAGGTTTATTTTTTTTTTAAATATAAGGTTGCTTCTTTCGAAATGTGATTCTATACGACGACTAAAATCAATAACCATTAAATAACACCAACCGACTACTTTTTCAAGACAGTTTATCGAAAAAAAAAAACAAATTCGAAATAATCACTATATTATCAAAACATCACCCTATAACTTGTGAACGCGAGGTGTCAGAGTCACGTTTCGGTATCGCATTAAAATTATGAAGTTTTTAAGTGAAATCTTTCGTCGGTTCCCGCCAATAATGACAGCTGTCAAAGTACAACGTACGTCGTCGAATTTATGGCGGGATTCTCTGTGGTTTGATTTCTTTTTTTTTAATTTATTTTTTACGGTTACGTCTGTTGTTGGATTATTGAAAGTGTAATACCTATTAGATGATATTGCTGAGATAAGCAAGTAATTTTGGTTGTAATGGTGTTATTTAGCAGAAATGGCGAAATTTTTTTACGTATAAATTGTATTGTGATTTTGGTGTGCATTTGATATTCCGTAAAGAAAGGTGTAGGTAATGAAATCATTATAATACGTGTCGTAGTATACAAAAAAGTATTTGTTGATAGTGACAAAATTAGTAACGTACAACAGATAATGTATAATTCGGTATTAAAAATTAAAAATAATTATTTATGCAAATAAACAGCGACATTCCAGTTCACGTGTTTCTGATAAAATCAGACGTGAAATTTTAAAATTGGAACAAAAGAAATTATAGCGGTCCTTTTGAACGTAGAGCTTGCGGTGACAATTTATTTTTACAGTTCATAAACGCGAAATTAATTTACTTTTATCTTTATTGTAATTAAATTACGAATTATTTTCGCGAAACAAATTTGGTGGTCAACAGCAAAAGTAAGTTTGGTCTTGTTCAAAATAAACGCATCTGATTGGTCATCAGTGGTGACAGCGATTCATTTTTTAATTTTCATGTCATTTCTTTTTTTTGAACGTCATTCGAAATTATGTTGTTACTTGTCTTTTAGGACATTTATACGACATTTTGAATATTTTAGCCTTTAAATCGATTAATTGGGATATCAATTAATTGGTTTGAAAGGATCGAATTAAATTTTGTAATCCGAAAATAAAGTTTGGAAATAAATCGATTCTTCGTTTAATTAATAATTAAGTGGCGTTGTTATAATTTTGTAGTAGGTAATTTATTTTAATTTTATTTGGTAATTATTTAATTTATTTATGTTGTTATGATATTTTTCACAGTTATACTGGAGGTCTGGACTTGAGACTCTGTTTTCGAGGACCCATTGTTTAAAAAGTTACTTCATAGCTATAAATCCCTTTATTAAGTGGTCTCTTAGTTGTTGTGTGTAACAATTTCATTACAAAACTAACTCATGTACTTGTAAGGTCAAACTAGACTCATTTCCTCTAGTTCCACACTATTTAACTTGAACCAAACAACACAGTTTGTCACTTAACTTTCGAACGTACTATAAGTACTTATACCTTGTACTCTTTACTGTTTTGTCACAGTCCAATTAGTTTCAAATTGCGAATTTATTGAGCATAATTTAACCTCTCCAGCGTCCTTATGAGCACCCGGTGGATCATAAGAAAAAATGCTCCATGCTGATTTCTCTTTTATAAAATCTATTATTAATGTTTTGTTTTTATTTTGACTGTATTTTTTATTTCTATTGTAATGATCCTTGTTTTCGTGTGCCAATGGCCACATAAATGCATTTTCTTTCTTCCTCCAAATGTCACGTGTGCACCCGTCGGATCATAAGGAACGCGAACGCTCGATGGGTTAAAAACAACACTTACGTTCAAATACTCAAACGCCACTCAATATTAAGTCGCGCTTAGTTATAGTTCTGTCATTACACTTTGTAAAATGAAATGCAAGGCAATGCGAAGAGATGTAGCTTCATTGTGCATTTTCTATCGCTTATACTACGGGGAGAGATCTGAGATAAATCAATCGTTTTCCGTTTAAAGTTGAAAACCACCATGAAGTAGTTATATATCTGTCAAGAAAGTCGCTAACTAGCTAAAAAACAACCCTATATTATTCAACAATAATCGTTATTTTTTGTGGCCCACCCAATAAGGCTAAATCACCGAGTTAATTTGCGGAAAAATCTGACAAAAGCTTAAGAAAAACGTGCGCAAGATCACCACCACGACGCGACGTCCTTAAAAATCGAAATCTCGAAATTTAAAATCGTATTCGATTAACGGATCGAATGTTAACTTCACAATAATTTAGTTCGGTCAACAATGGCGTAATGTCTCCTACTTTTTGCCATAACCAACTTTATTTTGTTAGTGTAAACAACTTTATTTTCTTTGATACAAGATTGCTTTTTGCTTAAACTGACTGTAAAGTAAGTTTGCAGATACCAGTATTTATAGTCTTTTGTGACTATAAGAGTGCTCGATAATGCTCATTGAGTGTAAGTTATTTTGTTCGTCGAAAAAAAGTCGCATCATATGAATAATGCTTTTGTCTCATTAAGCTTAAAAGGTGGTTGTGGTGATTTAATACCCCGTCAGATGTCGCTGTGGGCGTTTTATGGGTTAAACAGCTGACAATTCATTAAGAGATGAAAGTCTTAAATATGTATCTAGTTAACGCATTTCGTATACATTGATGTCATTAGTGATTTACTTATAGTGATGTATAGTTATCAGTGTCGATAAAATGTAGGTTGTGGGTGTCGGTAATTAGTTGTGTCGATAGACGGACACATTTGCATACCGCTGTCTATAATGTGGATTGATTATTAAAAGCTTTTATTGTGTTTTATAATAGTTAAATGTATTTTGTTTGTTTTATTTTAGATTCGACTGGTTTTTATTGATGATGTTTGGGTTATGTGATTGGCTCAACGAAATTTTTAAAATTTCTATTTGGCTTCCTGGATATAACTTAGGACAGAATTGCTTGCAATCAAATGTAGATTAACATAAATACTTATAAAAAGGTGCATCTCATAATATTTTACTGAGCTGGTCTTCAAACCAAACACTTTAAGGTCGATAATGACTCCCCCATCATTAATAGACTAACGCGAAATTTAGATCTTATACCAAGGAAATAGCTTCACAAGTGTGGGAGCGCCATGCTTCGGCACGAATGCGCCGGGTCGACTGGAGTGATACCACGGCCTTTTTTTTTTTTTTTTAAATTGGGACAAGCCCGCCACAACCTCCCAAAACCGCTGCAACTCCTGTAAGCCAGGATCTACAGTAGATACAACCATGAAAACACCGGAACACTGAAGTCCGGCGCGTCCCAGGGACATGAGTAACTGTCTTGGTTCCCGCAACGAAATGAATCAGAAGATATTATAAGAGGAGAAGAAAAAACTATAGTTTCCACTACCACGGCCTCACAGAAAACCGACGTGAAGCAATGCTTGCGTTGTGTTTCATCGTGCGAGTGAGGTTACCGGAGGCCCAATAACCCTCCCCTTCCCCAATCTCCCCAATTCTTAAATCCCCAACGATCCTCAAATTCCTAAGTCCCCAACGATCCTCAAACTCCTAATCCCCAAAAGGCCGGTAACGCACTTGTAATGCCTCTGGTGTTCCAGGTGTCAATGGGCGACGCCGATTGCTTACCATCAGGTGATCCGTCTGCTCGTTTACCGGCTTATACCATAAAAAAAAGGTTTAAATTTTTTGTTGACGTTCAAAAGTGCCTTTCTGGTCTAATTAAAATAAATGACGTTTACTTTGACTTACCACATTAAAATCACAAAATTCAATATGGAAATAGCCTTTAACACTTCACAAACTTTCACCCTATTCACTCAAGAGTCACAACCCATATAAATCAACCTCAACCAATATACGCCTATCTATCACCTTCAGGACATTAATAGGCCTCCGAGCTACAAGCAACAATATAAATATCTTCAGACCTCCCCAAAAGGGGGTAAACAAACCGTTTGCAACAATTCTGGCCGCCATTAACACGTAATGTCAATCACGAAGGTACCAGGTGACTATTCTGCCCCATTTCATGTCAATCTTCAGGGCCCCAGTATCTAACTGAAGGCAGGATGTTGATCTAAGATTTTTATCATTCAATACAATTATGTGAACTTTTGCTAAACGAGGGATGAATGCAAAACACCGGATTTGGTGCTTGGTTGCTGTTTTTTTTTAGTCTGGAACGAACTAAAGTGTTCTTTAATTGTACAACAAATGATAGAAATGCTATCAAATATATTCCATTATGTCGTCACTACACGGTTCGTAAAATATATTTCGTCAAAAATGTGCTCAATAAAAAATAACAGAAAATCTGATTGACATAATCAAAGGTTAAATAAGTTCACTCAATCATATTTCTTAGTTTAATTACACTATTACGGATTACTTCAATCCAACCAACAAACAACGATATCAATACAAACAGCTACAATTCAAAACAATTTCCCATAACGAGTATATCTTTAAAACTATACGACAGAACGCAGATCAGTTATAAGTCTCCAAGTCTCCTCCATATTTAAACAAGCACGTAGTCACATCCAGTGATCTTAGATTATTCAACCCCCTAAAGGCATATCAATCCAGTAAGTAATTACTTAACGAATTAATTAATCGATAAGTAAATAGCATACGCTTACTTGCAAAATAACTTTTAGCACTCAATCGTGAATAAAAAACATGAAACTGATAGGGCTTGTGAATGTAGCATCTGCATTTCAAATCAATTGGATACATGTCCAGCTGTGCCCGGGTTTGTTTGACTGTTCGTGTATTTTTTCCTACATTTGCATGTATTTGAAAGTAAGATAACTCCGTTCGATTACACTTACAAGTAGTATTGAGACTGGTATAAAATATAATTATATTTTTATAAAAGTTTTATATGACATGATTTTAGGCTGGTCTTTTTGCAATTGGTAGGGTGGAGTTAGTTGATATATTGAATTTTTGAAAGGAACAAATCTAAGAAATTTGTTAAGGAACTAGAAATAATACTATAGTGCACTAAAGTATGAACTGACTCTAACCATATTGCACATAAATATCAACACAAAAGAGCTGCTGCTACTTTCAATCTTATCTATATTTATTCACTGCTGGACTCTAAACAGTAGTTCAGACATCGCACTATAAAAGGTACAGATTTATCAGAGAGTACTACTGCCCATCACATCACACCAACAGTCTATAAGTAACCACTGCTAAGCAAAGGCCTCTTCTGACACGGGGAAGGTTTGAGCATTAATCACCACACTTGTTCAATGCGGAATCCAAATTTATAATTAAAATTAATTATAAACCCAGGTTTCCACACGATGCTCTCCTTCATCGTTTGTCAGTGGAGTCTAAATAAGCTTAGAAAGTACAAATAACTCGGTAAAAGTCACATTGGAACTTGCCGTTTGGTTGGTTCGGAACCCGCACTCTCGTGCATCAGAAGCGGGCGTCTTAATCCTCCAAGCCACCATGGTTACTGCCCATAGGTACAAGAAAAAGTGTATATCTAAATTATAAATCAACAACAACACCGACACACAACCAACCCTTCTCATATCAATGCTTAATACCATGACTATATGCATCGATCAATTACTTCTTAGATATTTTTTCTATCGCGCCATATTCAATGTGATTTCGAGTCTGCAGCCGTGTGGCTAACTTGAATGTACACTAATTGTTTCTGAAGCTATAATTGCCTTTTCTAGTTCTAATAGGGCTATTAAAGTTCCCCAAGAACCCACCTTTCCTTATAAGAATGTTAAAAGTACGAAGCCAACTTCGTCACCTCATTGAGTTTAAAAAAATAGAAAATTTATTTGTATATTCATATGGTTTTATGGGATTCAGTTGGTTTTTTTAACGTTGATGGGGCATTGTGATTGTTGACTGAAGTTTGGTATTATTTATTTTAAACTTTTTCCAAGTAAATAAATCAAAGGTTTTGCTCAAAGAGAGTGTTAATTAAAAAGTTGGTGTAGATCAAAAAATTCTGTAAGGATCAATAACATAACATCACGCTTATCTCTGAAGGGTTAGGCTAGGTTAGGCAGTGGTGCTCATTACGGTATTTAATGACACTGTCCAATGTAACACCTACTTTTACTTTTTATGTTACGAGTCCCATGTAATAGCGGGTGAGCCTATAGCCATATACTGGGCACATTTGGAGACTCCAGGCTACTACTGATTTTTTTTTAAACCCAGTTTCATTTTGTATGACCCGGGAATCGAACCTGAGACCCCTTGCCCGGTAGTCGCAATTGCGACTACTCGGCTGACGAGGTAGTGTAATGATTAATAATTGGTCTTGAAAATCATTGCTATGCTGTTTCCAATACTGAAATATGTCATGTGATTGACACTTTCAATTACATAATTTCAAGTCTAAATAAAACCATGCCTACCTATGACATCACTCCAAAAAATATAATGTAATGACTTCAAAAACGAAAAACTCCCAAAAACCTTTTCAAGACGAAAAACTCACAAAATACCAACCTATCTGATGGAACACTGAGATCAATCTCTTTAGTTTTTTAACAAGAATTTATGTATTTCGCGTATTAACCGCGATTGTTAAGACCGATTGTGTGCAGAGGTCAGCACTGCATAATATGGCTGTTGACAACTATAATGAGCATCTAAATGTAAAGTAAACGACTTCATGAATGCTTTATTGTGTTGTAAATTTTTTTCATCGATACTTTTTGAGCTATCTGGATTGGTAAGCAAGGTTGGGTGATGTGTTTTACAAGGTATTTCGTTGTACATCTGGTGTGTATGAAATGGCCATGTGCAGACTCATGCGTGATTGTCAATTAATATCATCCTTTTGAAAACTCTGCCTCGCACTAGGATTTTCTCCTGTGTCGTGAATACATTTACAAAAATGTACAGTCTTACAAAATTATACAGGACACCCAGAATCTAAACAACAATTTGTGGATCACACAAAGAGGTGCTCCGTGCGGGAATCGAACCTGCTAAGTGTTGCGCAACAATCAATTGCCCAACCACCGCCCCGCACCGCGACAACTGTGCAGTCAAATCATTAAACAGTTTTTTTTTTATAATATTAGTTAATTTTAGGAGTGGGAGGTCGTTACGTCACTAAGTGCTACAAAATGTAGCGTATATTTCAGATTATTAAGTCGTCGAAAGTATTTAATTATGTGAGAAATGAAAAAATACGTGTCTAATGTTTTAAATTAATCTACTAGACGAACATTCAAATAAAATTTAGGCAACTACCCTATTCTCAATTCATATAACTACCGTTTTTAATCACGAGGCATCACTATTGATTAAGATGTAGAATAAAATCCAATTTCTAATATCATAATTACAATTACGATTACTAACATGAGCAACTAGCTTCACTTATAAATTTTTGTTGTTTTACGTTCAAAAGTGCTATCGTGGTCTAATTGAAATAAATGATTTTGACTAACATTGCTGGTGTCAGTAAATCATCGTAAATAATTCATAGTCATACCTCTGTCATCCAAATATGACCATCTTCACCACACTGTCACCGACAAGACAACCGTGAGAAACAAGAAAACGTGAAACAGTAAAATTCCCAGATATTTATCAATTCCTCACTGACGCCGTTTATGAGCTACGATCCGTTCTACTGCCGATTTATTCATAAATACGGTGAGATATCGAGATCTCGGTAGGTCACGATCGATTGTTAAAATCGTTTAAATTGAATATGTATTGAGTATGGATTGGTGGTTTCGTGTAGTCAGTACTCTGGTCTCGTTTTGAAGTGACAGTGTCTTGGAATTTATGAAGTTTCTCTTTTAAATTATTTTTGAGCATAACTTCATGGGTTTAGGGATCGCAAGTGCATTGTTGATGGGCAAGACCCTGACGGACTGACTGACAGACTATTATTTATTTTGTATTTGTTGACGTTTCAAAAGCACCAAACTATGGTTTAATTGAAATAAATGCTTTGACTTTGACTTTGACTTTGACTTTCGATAAATTTGAGATACAATTACTGATGACCTCTAGTTTATGGTTTTGATACTGATGATGTTCTCACTGTTCATTGTTATTTTGTGATTTTGCTTATTTGTTCAAAACGTTATTATGATATGATACCATTATTGACATAATAAGGTGGTTGGTAGATGGTAGAATAAAAAATAAAAAATCTAATTAGTTCGTGACTTATTAGACACGTATTTTTTTTCTCGTATACAGTTACATTACTTAGATACAATGAAATTAGGTTTAGGAGGCCGTGACGTCACAACGTGCTACAAAATGTAGACGTCACACGTTACTTCAAATTAATATATTGTCAAAAATATTTAATTTTGTGAGAAAATAAATAATACTCGTCTTATTTAAATTAATATACTTACACATTAAAATAAAATTTCGGAAACTACCCAACTGGCCTGTTTTTGGTTTTAACGAAATATATACGTTTGTACGTCACACACACAAATACTTTTAACCGCTTGAATGCACCGATATGAGACACAATACAAAATACATTGTGTCTCACGTGGATTCACGTTACATACGACGGGTTAATTAACAATTAATCAAACTCAACCACAATAATAAGTTACGGACCAATCAAACGTGATTAAATCACTGTCTTCTGACCATCCGTCAATGGTCCCAGGAATCGTATATTTAGAAC